GCAGATGAGTATTGTTTGGCAAGCTGTGAACGGGGCTCTGAAACCTCTTTTCACACAGTTCAATCAGGAATGCAAGTGGTGGCGTGCTTTTATTTCTAAGAGTTTACCATCAGTTACAGCTACCCACATACAGACCCGATTTTCAGAGGGGCGGAGCCCTTGCAACTGCCAGTGTTGCCAGTGGGTTCTCTGCGCCTCTAAAAAGGGGTCAGTTGTGCATGTGCCTTTTTAGTGCTGACCTCTGAACCTAGGTGGGATCACAGCAGACCTGTCTGAACAGAGGGCTTGTGCTGTGCACCTGTAACTCTCACCAATTTGTGGCTCTATTATTTCTCACTACTTGGTCATACACCCTTCTCCCCCCCCCCCCCCCCCCCCCCCCCCAAGCATTGGTATGAATGTGACTCATGAAATTATTCATTGCATTTTTTCCTTTCTGTTAACGTTGTCCCCTGTTCTGTTTGCCTCTGGGAAGCTGATATGCAGGCAGCTGTGTGCTACCATGGAAATGTAGTAACGGGGCAGAGACCTAAGAAGCAGTGGTACCCCAAAAGGATGAAGATCTCCACCCGGCACTGGTGTCTGCCTCTTTGAATATATTCATGACTGCTGAGTAAGGGCTTCCAAAGCCATGGGGGGGAAAGGGATCCCAGCAACCAGCTGACAAAAGCAGCTACGCATTTCTAGCAAAGGAGATTTGAGACTTCTGAGCTCAAGGGAGTGATACCATATTTTCTAGTCTGTTGCAACAAATGTTTTTGTTTTTTTTAAAGAGGTTTTTTTTCTTTTACGTGCAACGATACGAAACAAATCCACAACTTAAATGTAGCATGTTGCAATTTTTTTGGGTGGAACAGACATTAGTAAATAAGATTCCACAGTACTGTCCTGTCCTACAAAGAGTATGGTAAAAAGTCTTAGCAATGGCGCTAGTATGTGTATGTCTAATGGTACTTTAATTCGCCTCAGTTCCTGGTGAGCAGTAGAAAACAATTCCAAGATTTTGGTAATAGGTGTTTATTCCAAGTTATGAAACTCAGCTGCATGGGTTTTCATACACTTTTCTTTAAAGCCACTCCAAGCCTAAGTGGGAGATGGATATAACTTAAGGAAAACTGTGTCTGCAAAGGAGTTATAATCCTAGTGATTATTGCTGGATATCACCCATGGTACGAAGCCTGCTTTCACTACAGAGAACTGTTGCATTGCAATACTTGATGTTTTTATGGTAGGGAGGACACAATCAGATCTCTTTCCCTTAGTTTATCACACTGAATAACTGGAGAGTTTGGTCCTTTCTATACCCTCTCTTGCATCTGCCATGTTTTTTAAATGCAGTTACGAGCTAGCGGGTTGAGTTTTTAAAGTCTGATTGTGATTTAGCACTTCTTTGATACTAGCTCATTAGTGAATTACCATTAGTGTAACAGTATTTCAGAATATGAACAAACAAGGAGTTATATTCTGGGCATTACACTGAAACAGTCCATACTTGATAATTCTAATCAATCTAAGGATGGCTGGTCCCAAGCAGTCTCTCATTCTTAAACAGAACACAATCTTGAAGGTGCTTTTGTAATTATGCTTCATTTAAACTACCAGAGTATTTAATGGTGGCTTTGGCTGTGACAGTTGTGTGAACTGATGTTTTCCAGTGCCCTGACCATCAGGACCTTGTTGGAAGGAGAGATGGTAAAATGGGCATGACTTGGTTCTTGAAATGTAAAAACAGGGCATGCCATGCCATGGCTGTGATCTCAGGCAGGTGTGATGGTTTGGTAGTGCCCTGCTGCTTATTAGAATTTTGTGTCCTAACTATTTGTTTTTAACTCCAGTTGCTGCTGTATCTGTCAGGATTTAATTTAGTTTCATTCCAGTTGATGGTGAGCGCTGAGAGAAACAAACAATCCCCAGGGCCTAGACCTGTCAATGATTAGTGGGCAGAAAACAACAAACTGTTTTTAAAAATTAGTGAATTTAGGAAACTTAACATTCCTCCTTATACCCATGTTGCAGTTTATACTGATGTAAGTGTAAATATTCGGCGTGTTGGCAGAGACTGAACCCCTGCTTTGGAGAGGGATAGCTCTCTGTTGGATGCATGAGCTTTTGAGGTTGGCTGGCAGTAAAAGTGATGATGAAGACTCCAGTCTTGCTGTTGTCTCCAGTGACCCAGCAACCCCCTTTGCAGTTCTCTTGCTAGATGTTTGTTTTCTCCTAGACATAGAATACGTATTGCTGAGGAGCGAAGCTTTGGCGGCGTATGTTTTAGCGTGGTACTTGCCTGGTAGGGCTCTCTTCCTGGGCCCCAGCCTCTATTTTCAGGAGTTCAAGAGGCTCCCAGTCTTAGTACTTTGCCATTTGTACACTGTTCAGCCTCTTGTGTTCCTACAGGGATTCACAGTATCTGGAGGAAAGTGTCCTAGATTGAAAAATTAATGACATTCAGCAACAGCAAAGTGCTGAGTTAGTTCTGGTACCAACCTGTGATCCACTTCCTTCCCTTTTTCAAAGGATAGACTGTATTCTAGAGCACCTTCCATTTGTATCTGGTATGCGTCCAAGCTGAGAACTCTAGACAGACACTAAGGTTAATAGCTGAATTGTCTCTTTAAAATGAGGGTGCAATCATTTTATGTATTCAGATTAAAGCTGCTGTATCCTATTTTATTCTGTACCTATTAAAAAAAAATGGTAATCTCCCATTTCTTGATCTGTAAAACTGATGTGGGCTCAGCTACATTAACACTCCCTCATTCCAGAGTTCAGATATCTATCAGCAGGAATTTCAGTGGTTTTCCTTATGCTTACATCAGTTGAGTGCAGTAGGATTTTTCATTTTATAACAAGCTCTGTTTGCCATTCCAAGCTCTCTTTTAGATCCTACATTGACATATTTAGAGGTACCTGTACAACCAGAAGCAAATGTGATGCTCTTGAAATGGGAGAGCTAACTCAAATTTTTTTTGTCTTTTGAAAAATAACCTGAGATTTTCCCCAACAGGGCAGAGAACAGTCAACTTCAGTTTGCAATGTAGACCTTTTTGCTAATTGTGATGTATGGCAGTGGGACTGATTTGTAATAAAAATGTTATTTAATCTGTCTCTGTATTTTGATACTTGAATTTTCTTTTTTCCTGTATATACAATTGTTAATCTGTTCGAATTTTTGTCTGAATTTTAAACATTTTGTGGTACCAAACATAACCAATCTGTGCAACAACATAGACTGACCTCACTACAACAAGGCGAGATTGTAAATATTTCTGGGCTTCCAGCGGTCGTTTTGTTGTTTTTCATAACTGTACAACTTAGAACAGACTGAATTAATAAATAAACTCAGACACACACCTTTGCTTTGTTTACTGTGATGTAGATAGTGTGGAAGTCTTTAATTTTCATTTTTTAAATTTGAATTTGGTCAAGGAATAAGCAGTGGCTGGTGCCTGGAACCAAAATGGCTGTTTTTGGTTAAACAAGGGAAATATTTTATCCATATGCAAATTCAGTGGAGAAAATGACTTGTCAGGGCAACCCTGAAATATCTCTTTGGTCTATTACCTTTTACTTGTAATTATCATGCAGTAGCCAACTTCTGCAAACTTTTACAATAGAATATAAAACTGTTTGTGAGCTGATAAATGGTAAGAACTCTCCCTCCTGAACACTACTGTGGGATTTGAATTTATCTGTTCAACATTTTCATTCTCCTGCAGAAGATGAGGCCTGTGCAACTAAGGTTTGTAGAACAAGTATAGGAAGCACACATTCTGCTCCCCTTTAATTTCCATTACTAACTTGCAGTCAGTCACATGAAATAAACTGTAAAATGGTTTGGCTCAAGACCTGCATGACAGTTTTAGATTAAATCTACTTTTTTTTAAGATCAGCTAGTGTCAGTTTAATAGTGTGGACCCACTTCCTTCACGTGAGAGGCAGCTGCTTCTTTGACCTCATTTTTCCTGAACCCTCTAATGCTAATCACTGCCATCTTACTGCTGACATGTCAAAGGATAGTGATTCTCTTGCAGTTATGATTACAAAGCCTGAAACACTAATGATGAGGCTATTCTATACTATTTGTCCAATTTATGTCAAAAAAATTAAATCCTTTTAATGGCAGTAACCAGTTCTCATGGTCCCATGAATGTAGAGATTTATGAATGTCTTCTGAGTAATCCTGCTAGAGCTTTAAAAGACCCCCTAAAAAAAAACTCCATGAAAAGTATTAAATATTCAGCATTACATTTTTGAAATGTCAAGCCCATTTATTCATTAAAAACATAGCTATAAATGCACATGGGGGTGTGTGTCTGAACCAGAGAGTGGCTGAAGCCCATACTAGCAGCACCTTTCATCCTCTCTCTCCCTTCCCCCCCCCAGATGAAGAAAACGAATTCTCTTCCCTTCACCCCATCCCACATTTACAGATGGGCAACTTGTGCCATGGAGGGTAAGTGGATTGGCAGGACCATAACCTATGCATCCTTACACAGTTCAGCTGCCAACTCCTAGAAAACACTGCTTCTCCCTGCAACAAAACAAAGCTCCCACACCCTAGCCATCTTTTAGCCAAAGCAATTCTTGCTGTACAACATCAGTAGTTTGATATTAAGGTACAATTGTAACAGAACATCAAAGACCTTGGCAGCTCTGATAGCACAGTATTGCTCTAGCAGAAAGAAAGTTTACTAATGCAGCTTCAAAGTATTGAAAATTCACTAGTATAAAGGAGATGGAGGAAAAGACCAACGTTTAACAATGCATGTTAAGATTTAGGAACTGGTTACAGTAGATTTGAATACAAAAATACTAAATCCATAGGGGATTAAACTGAGCTAGTATAGATGGCACCTATGAAGTAAACCAGATTTTAAAGTTAACACTGAAGGAGTATATCAGTTACATTAGAAAGTAAGCTCTGTCATTAACACAAAGCATCTTAATCAAATCCCCTCTCCCCGGCTGAGACTAAGAGGTGTCTGGAAAGCAGGCTAAAACCCACAGTTAATGGCAAGGCAAGAAAAAAATCAGGGTTCAAATTCACAGGATGCATTACAACATGAAATCCATCTAGGCTATCTTACCATATTTATTCAAAGTAATGAGACCAACTAACAGCAGGTATGGAAAAAAAAAAGGCAATTTTTTTTTAGTTTAAAGGTTTATTCAGACAAATTGGGAAGTGGCAGTTGGTATTTATGTAACTGTCCCCAGCACCTATGGTGGCCCAGCTGCAGAAGTGCTTTGGATGCTGCTGCACAGAACAGGACAGCTGTTTAGTTGGCTGCAACAGACTTTACAAGCCAAAGCATGATTCTGAAAACTAGCTGAGTCCTCCTCCCCTCTGGCCCCAGTGCATGTGGTGCTTTCTGTAAGAGTTAGAAAGAATCTATTCCTGGCTCTGCCCCTGGGAGAACAACCTTTTTTAGAATTGCCAGGTAGTAGGGTCCATACACCTGCCTGTTGTGATGAATCACACTGCCAAATCTGTGGCTAACTTCCAGCAGTTCTTCCTGAATTGGAGCAAGGCCTTTTGGGAGACTGTGAGAGTTCTGGGCACTAGGAGACAGATGAAGGCTGAGAAATGAATGGATCCGCTGCTCTGTAGGTATGAAAAGAAAGGGTGTGATAGGAGCAGTCAGTCAAAGGGAAGAGTGAACACCTGACAATTTGAGACACTATCAGCTCAGCAGCATGGATATAGCTCTGAAGAGAACAGAAGGGAAATCATCCTGGTATAAAAAAAACTAAAGTGCATAGCAGATGTCAGAATGCAACATGGAATTTAAGATTGTGCTTAAATGCAATAACTGCAACAGCACAGATCAGTGGGAAAGACTTCAGACTTAGTTTGAAATAGCTTGATAATTTACATATTACTATGGTGGGCTAGTGGATAGAGCACTTAACTGAGACTCAGGAGACCTGCATTTCATTGCTGGCTCTGTAACAAGTCACTGTGCCTCAGTTTCCCCATCTGTAACATAGGGATGACACCACTTTTGTAAAGTGCTTTGAGATAGGTGGTATTGTCATATGGAGCTTTTCACTGCTTGATCATTATCATTTAATGACTTCTGGAGAAGGAATGAGGATCTCAATCTAGGGGCACTAGGTACTCACCCTTGTGGCAGTCTGAGCAAAGAGGCCAAAGACTGACCTTACATGGGGGTTGCCTATGCTAGACCAGTCCTGGGAAAGGACTTCACTTTAGGGCTCTAAGGCCCAGCATAGATCGTAGATAAAGATGTAGGGTGGCCTCATTTTTAAAGTAAAAAGCCAGCACATTAGACATTTACTCAGGGACTCACCAATTACGCTCCGCACTGCATTGTCGTCCTCTGCGATGCTCCTTATCTGGCCTTTGAGGGAAGCAGATTTATCGCTGGTGAAAGCAGGGTAACCCAGTTGCAAGAGAGATTCACTAACTTCCTGGTGCACGTGATTGCTGATGTCCAGCAAAGCTTCTCGAAACCTAAAATCAGAGGCATGTTCTATATTCTTGGGCTGCTCCTCATCTTTGCTTCGCAGCAGGGAGGGTCCCACAGCAGTGGAACAGCTAGGAAATTCCCTCCACAAACCTGTAGCCAAGAACATCATGATGGCAACATAAGGCACAGACAACCAGCTGTACTCATTTGGTGTCCCATGAACTAAGCTGCCCTAGTGCTTGTTACTGTGATCAAAATGATCAGCAGCACTGGTTCCCCATTAACCAGTGAGTCACCAGTTCTAGGGGATTAGTTCCCAGCTGGAAACTCCTCCCCCAGCCAGAAGCCCTGGCCCCTATTTGGATTTTAACTATCCTCTCAGTTCCAGAGTGGATTTCTGCAGCTCTTCTCATTCCCAACCAGCACCTGTCTACTCACTTGTCTCCCTCTGGAAAAGATAATGGTAAAGCAACCAACCTGGTGTGAGGGAGCCCTTCCAAGAGGGCCTTTGTTACCCGTTTCAGCCTATCTACAAACCCAGGCGAGCTGAACAAGGCGCTTCCACACACACTGCTGGACACTAGCAGGACTGCAGCTAGGATTGTTAGCTGATTCACTTGCAACTGTACCTCCTGCAGCCGGGCTTGGTCCATCAACAGAGTCTGCAAAGAAAGATCAAATCCCCCTGTGGGCATGGGGAGAGCTGTGCTCACCAAGCAGGGAGATTCTCAAGCTGGTGAATCGCAATTGCCCTTCCTTTTCTGTATAGATAATGGGAGAGGGCTCCCCTATGGAGAAGGGCGTGAACCACTGATCAAACACAAACTCCCGGAAGCAGGAAAGGCCTTATGTTTTGCAGGGGACCCAAGCTAACAGAAGAGGGGAAATAAGCCACAGGCTAGAAGCTTCCACTGCCAAAAAGGGATAGGGGATCCAGCAGAGAGCTATTTTCTCCCCTTGCAGTCCTGTTGCCCGGCCCTGAGACAAAGCCAGCTCATGCTGTAGAGGTTACATAGGATTCAGGGCCCAAGCACCTGTTTATTTTGCTTATACTTAAGGCCAGTTCTAACTGCCACATCAAAGTGGCAGAGCAGTCCTCCCTGGCTGACAAGAAGATTCCTCCTACCTCAGGGTATTTCTCTATGGCTGGCTCCCAGCGGAGTAGATTCATGTATCCTTGGTTTAACACAGACATGGGACTTGGTGTAGATGAGCTCCTGCTGACAGCCCCCAGTGAGAGTGGAGCAGGTGATCCATGGACCTCAGGATGGGATGGGGATGACCAAGATGATGCAGAGACTTCTGCTGCTGCTTTGTGTAACCACTCAGTTGTGTGATCCAGGCTGTCTGGAACAGGATTACAGAGAGAATCAGACTCAGCAAGTTGAATGGTGAAGGAACTGTTTTCACTCACTGTACTACATTACACTCTGAAGAGACAGTATGTCTCAGACTGGCCAGAGAGCAGTGCTGGCCCCTACTTTACCAAGTGACTGACACCTGTTGAGAAGCTTCAGAGTCAGGCTCATTCTCATAGGACACAGCCATGTCATTGTCAGGACAGTGATGCTGGCCTAACAGTAGTGGGACTGGAAAGGCACATGTTCAGGGCTGGTCTCAGCTAAGCTTTGTAATGTGCAGAGGACTAGGAACTATTACTCCACATATGGTGAAACACCTCTAACAAAACCAGACCAGCTCTGCTGCAAGCCAGCAAAGCTGGTACAGGGAGCAGCAAAAGGTTGCTCTCTATCTGGGATAGCTTGCCTTTGATTTATTCAGCAACTTAAGCATCCACTAAAACCTTCTAGAAACGCTCTGCCAAGGGTGACTACAGGCCTGTTTAACATTTTGCCCTTTCCTCTGAGGATCTCAAAGCCTTTTATACGCTTTAATGAAATCTCACAACACCTGCCACGGCTATTTTCTCCATATTCTGCAGGGAGAAACTGAAGCAGATTAAATAACTTGCTCTCTTTTACAATGCAAGTCCGTGAGAAAGTTGGGACTAGAAGCCCAGTGTCCTGACTTCCAGGTACTGCTAACTACCAATCCATCCCCTGGTCAGAAGCACTTCTCCTTACATTTGACAGTTTCGCCTTTCCATCTTGTTACTAATACAAATTTGCGTGAAAGACTCTTAACAGCTCTGTTTCTATCTGCTGCTCCTGTTTACCCTGCACCTGAAGCTAGTATCTGCCACCAGCAGAATGTCTGCACCATTGGCTGATGTCAAACAGAAGACCATTTTGAGGTGGGAAAGGAAGTAACTGGAGATGAACTAAGCAGCAGATAATCCTATTTGTGTACATTATTCCACAGTAGTAAAGAGAGGAAAATAACCAATGTCCCATTAACAGAAATATTTGTTTCACAATGAACGCTTAAAATTGTATGTGCACACTTTAAATGCTTGAGTAAGCTGTTAGGAAGACTGGTTTCTCCATAGGGCTGCTACAGCACAGCCATCTGACACAAGCCTCCCCCACACCACCCACTCCATCTGCCAAGAGACCCGTGCCAAGGGTAAGCTCATGCTCCAAACCCACCAACCCTTGACTCCTCTGCTGAATCTGTCCCCTTGTGGGTGATGGCTATCATGGAAAATGATATCCCTGCAGCCCCAGGGTGAGATCCCTTCCCCACCTGCTGAACTTTGGGAATATTAATGCACTTTGGACCTATGTCACCCTGCGTTGGTGCTCAGTATTATTAATCCTTGTATAGGTATTTTGATGATGACCCAGCACACCCCTGCACCTTCTCTCTCCTTCCCCACACACTCACTGGGCAGCTTGGCAAGGAGCTCCTGGAATTTCTTCTGCTCATATTGGACGGAGTGATCCTGCAGGTGGGGCCGGAGGCTCTGGATGGTAAAATTCACCATGTCCATTTTCATCAGGTCTAGCACCCGGAAAATCTCCCTGGGGTGAATAAGAGGACAAAAAGGATCACTACAAGTGTCTCGCCAATGTCAAGTTGTCCCCAGAGACCCAGTCTTCAGTGCTGGGCATTCTAAGTGCACGGGGAGTCAGTACTCATGTCCTGAACTCACCAGCAGCCCAATGCAGCCCCACACACTACTCAGTGGCTTCTTTTTCATGCAACACGGACTTTTTAAAAAATCTAGTTTTTGTGCTGGGGAACGGTACCAAATTGCATGCCCCAGAGACCCATCCTACTTACCCTCGGAACTAGTACAACAGAGGCAGTGCAAGCTACTTCAGTGTTCCTCCAGGCTGTCTCTACCCTGATCTAGAGAGACCACCAGAAGGGTCAGAAGAGACCATGACCTCCCACAACAGCTATGTTCCACTGAAACAATGAAATTATCCAGCAGTGGGATAGGCTTATGAGTACAGAAGACAGGACATGGACCCAACTTACGGACTCATTATTGCAAGTAGTAAGAGAATTGGGCTCAGTGCACTCAGAACTAAATGCAACGTTCATTGCTGTGACTTAGGTTCTTCAGTCACACACACACACAGTCATTTCTCCTTCACAGCATGAAGGGAAAGACAAACTACTACTACTTTTAAACAGCTGGGGGGCACTCAGATGATATAGTGATAAGGCCATGTAAGAACAGAAGAGAAATCAGGCACTATAGCTCATTCCCTTCTAGTATGACTGTCATGGAGGGGGTGGGGTGCGTGGTGTTATTTAGTGCCAATTAGGATGGAAGTTTTTGTGAAAGGGACATATGTCCCCTACGAACCGGACTGAGCCTCAAGTTCATTTCGCACTGGACTTTCCATTCCTGTGAACAACAATTTAATCCAATTTTCATTATTCAGAAACTCAAAATATCAGTGAGACAAGCTGAGGCTCAGTGTATCAGGAGTCCGGATGTGATACGATTATTGGGCAGGAGGCAGTAGATTCCCCTGCCACAACAATCACTGATTGAGGATATGCTGGTTTATGGGAGACCCACCTGTGTCCCAAACAGTGTCACCCACCTGAGCAACTGAACTGGGTCTGTCACACCCCGTAGTCTCTGCACTTCCTCGTCTCGAACAGGTGCACACAGCATCGCCATTGTACCTAAGATGTACATGGTGAGATTGGGGATGTCAAGAGCCCCATGCTCAGCCTCCTGTCTGATCAGCTCCATATCCAGGGCTTCTTCGATCTGGCCCCGCAGACGGCTGTGCCGTGGCAGCAACAGTGACAGTATGGTCTGCCCCAAGGAGAAAGTCAAAGAGAGAAGAGTCTGTTTTTGTTCAAATTTAGGAACCCTACAGCTCGCCAGGAGCTGCACAACAAGTAGTAAAGGCTGGCCTTATAGGAATGAGGACTCAGGTGACTACTAAGCACATTGAAACTTAGGGGCCACCATAGCAACTATAAGGGAATGTTTGTTCCTAACTGCTCCCCTTAAGGGTATACACAGAAGATGCTATATGACCATATGTCAGCCCCTAAATAATGTGTGGTCCCTATTCTTTCCTTTATAACAGGGATACCTTCTAGTACTCTGTGGGATGGCTTTCTGGGAAAGGAGCTGCCTCTCAGGACTACAAAAGGGGAGAGGTATGGGCCAGGTCAGGCAAGTACGTTAGATGCTGCTGTGGGCTCTGCAGATAGGTAGGGCTGTTTGTTAGTTTTAAACACTTAGCTCCTGTTCTAATATGTTGTGTGCTTGTGTGCATTAAAGACAGATGCTTATGTATGACTAGCCTTGGAGAGGGGTTTCTTTATATATAAACTTTGAGGAGTTTATAGATAGAAGAGACTGTATGCACAGTCACTGTTGGCCTAGGGAGGATTTTCAGGCCAAGGCATTTTCTCACTTTACTTCGTATGTCTCTCTCTCAGGCTTCTTTATTTAAGAAGCCTTGTAACAAGTAAGGTTTTAATAAAATCAAACCCATCTAATTCATTTTTAATTCAGGAATTGTGTGTTCAGTCTACAATTCTATTAACAGACAACATCTACCTTTCTTAGAATCCAAATCTGCTGTACTGAAGAGAGGGTTTGGGTCCACTGGGAAGGAATGATGGGGTTCAGTTGCAAGTTAAGGGAGAAGAGGTTGCCAAGTATTAATGAATGCAGCTATCCTTGGGGCAGGAAAGAGGGAATGTAAAAAGAAAGGAATACGTGGTAGTTGTCCTACCACCTCTGAGCTAGCCTTCTGCTGTCTGGTGAAAACCAGTGGGTCCAATACTAATGAGACCTAAGCGGACCAGGACATTAGCCATCCTTAAGCAGAGTGTGGGTAGGGTCCTGCTCAAGAAACCATTGCATCAGTGTAGCATAGAGATTTAAGCAATATCTATGATCAGTTATGTCCATACTGATTGTTACATGGCTCCACTGGTTTTCATACCTTTCAGATGTAATTGATTTGTGTGGGGGACACTGGGTCAAGGGGACAGTCTTACAGACAGGATCTAGAAGGTTGGGCCTAGTATTTACTCTTCCTTGCTGTGAATTCCACTCTCTCATGCCTCCGGTCTAATGTGTGGCCACAAGGCAAAGCTTAGATGTACATCATTAACAGAGGCCTAGCTCTAAGGTGGGCTGTCCTATCTCATGAACTGCTCACCTCTTTAATTTCCTGCAGCAGTTGGATCACATGTGTGTAGTCTGGTGGACTAGCAGAGAGCTGTTCTTTCAGACTGTCCCAGAAAGCTTTGTGCAAGGTCTCCTTCACTCGGCTTTCCAGGCTGAGTTGGGAGAGGGAACAAGTAACTATTATGAACATTCAGCCATCTCACACCTATCATTATGGAGGGGCTATGTCCACACTTGGACCTCTGCATTTTCTTTGAACTTTTATTCTCATGTTGGAAGCAACATGCCTCACCACTCTCCCTCCTATGGGAACCTCTATCAACCTAAATTCCACAGTTCTCCCACATATGGTTCCTACCCAGCCATCTCTTTTCCCCATAGCCAAACATACTTCGGCCTTGTCTACACTGAGGTTGGTGTGTAAGGTATGTGTAGCTACACACCACAGTGAAAAGCAGGCTATGTCTGCTCCATAGCTGCATGTGCCAATGAAAGGCTGAGGTAGCGGGAAAAGTTCTGGCAAGGAGGAGCTCCTGGAGTCTTTCCCTGCAGCAGGGAAAGGCTCCAGCAATGGGACACTGGGCAGCACTGTCTCACTGTGCAGAGAGCCATGTAGGTAGGGCACATAGCTAGGGCCCTACCAATTTCACAGCCGTGAGAAACACGTCACGGACCGTGAAATAAGCCCTACCCAGTGAAATCTGATCTCCCACTCCTACTAGAAGCACCCTAGCCAGGGGCTTCTAGCTCCCGCTGGGCTGGGGAAAGACTTGTCCGTCACCTGCACAGGCACTCTTGGGTGGACCTCAGACCCACCTCCACCTCTGGGAACCTCCTGCGGCTGCAGGAAACTCCACGGTTGCTGCCTTCAGAGTGCAGCTCTGAAAGCAGCACAGAAGTGAGGGTTGCAATCCCGTGCCCCCCCGCAACAGGTCTGCGACTCCCCACCTCCCCCCAAAATACCCTTTTGGGTTGGGAACCCCACGGTTACAACAATGTGAAATTTCAGATTTAAACATTTGAAAAGGTGAAATTTACCAATTTTCAAATCCTATGGCCGTGAAATTAACCATAATGAAACTGAATTTGGTTTCATTAAGTGTTCAGGCATGTATTTACTCATCTAAGCAGCACTTCACCCTCTACACTGCTATTTATACTCATACAGTGTGTGTACTCTACACACGTATGTATGTGAAGACAAACCTTAATCTTACTTTTCTACCACTTAGCAATAGTTCAGAGGCAGCCACCCCCCACACACACACTTCAGAAGAATGTGATGTTTAGCCAACCTGTGATAGATGCAGGTAACTCCCTTCAAATCCCCCAACCACTACTCTTATCCTCAGAGAAGACTGACAGGACCGTACAATATTTGCAGGATAACTTTCTACAGAGCCTCTTTTTGTTCAGCACCAGGAAGGATACTCTGGTGGTTAAGGCATTCAGATAGGACTCAGGAAGTTTGCAGCTACAAGGCAGATTGCTGAGAGAAGATCTTTGCATCTCTTCTCCTTTGATTAATACTTAAGAAAAGGTCACTGTCTATACCTCTGAGTGCTCCATTAAACTCAAGGAAGACCAGATGTGGCATTTATCATAGTTCCAAGGGACAAATAAACTTGAAAAAAACCATAACATATAGCACCAAAACCCACTTTCTTTTCCTTTGTAGTTTCTAGATACTTTCAACAGCCATAGCCCTCCAAATCCTCCCCTCCCCCATTTCCCATTCTAGCCATATAATCTGCAACCTCAGGTAAGAGAAAAAACGAAGAGGAGTATAACGAACCTGTTTGGTGAGAAGTTGACCTCTTGCAACTTGAAATCACGGTTCACCACAATCTCGTGTGCAATGGTCATTTTAGAAACTTCTTGTGCTGTTTCTAGTAATTCTGCCATGGAGAGAACTCGTGGAGGGCTGGCTGCAGAAAGGAAATTAATGAGACCTAGTTCTTTATCATGATCAACTACAGTCTTAGATCCAACATTTAATAAATCTAAAAGGTTTTTACAAAATTTAATACGGAAATGCAAACCGAATGAAAGCCTGTGTATGTAGGGTGGGGTTAAAACATCCCCCTCAGAATATGAGAAACAACATTATGCTCCTAGCTGATGAAGAAATGCTGACACTGACAAAAGTAAAACTGATCAGTTTGGTTTCTATGTCTAAACAATGGAAGATTAAATTTCATTAATGGTCAAAAGCAAGGGCCCAATCCTCTCCCAGTGAAGTCATTAGCTAAACTTCCATTAACCTAAATGGAAGCAAGTTTGGGTCTCAAAATCAATTTAAAATATCACTCTGTGGTTATTGGTAACAACAATATAGGAAATAATTGTTCAAATTAAAATGGTCTTCAAAAGCAGTACAAGACTGCTCATTGAGTGAGCTGAATAAAAATGGATTGTATAAAAGCCTTATCAGTTCATGCTTGGTCCTATTACTTTTGACAGGTTCTCATACCTAGGCTTTAACCTCTTAATGACCTCCAGAATAATTATGCAACTAATGTCTCTATCTTGTTCCGCAGTTAAAATGAACAGTGAAACAACTACAAGTCTTATAAGTTCTTTTAACAGCATCCCTTCCAGTGTAAAGATACCAGGAAGACATGTATTCTGAAGAAGAATTTCACATTTTTACCATTTTAAGAATAAATACGTTAGATAAAAAGGAATTAGCACTCTTCTTCTCAAGTATTTTCAATATAGATCTCCCAATACATGATAGATGCATTTTTCAGATGGGGTAACTGAAACTCAAAGAAGCTAAGTGCCTGAAAGCAAACACTGAGTCAGTGGCAGAGCTGGAAGTAAAACTCATGTCTCCTGACTCCCTTGGTAGGGGATTAAACACCCTAGACACATTTTGGAAATATTAGCTGACAAACTACTGATTTTATACTGTCATTTCAGAATCTCATGAAAATCATCAGTTGTGGGACTATTATCTAGGGTTTCTACATTCTAGAGCAACAGGAAAAATTACAGGTGAAATTCACTGATTAAATTATGGGAGAGATGTGGAGTGAAAATATGATGCCAGGTGGCCTAGCTTAATAGCCATAAATGGGAGAACAATTTACAAGTTGCAGGACACCAGAGACAGTACAGAATAGGAATGAGACAGCAAAGAGTCACATGTTGGAATTATGGATTCTAACAGTGCTATAGGCTTGCCTTCATATCCTCCCATTGGGTAACTCACCCTCTTGCTATATTTTAAACCTTAGCCCCTCATTCTGCAATCTGGTCTGTGTACATAGACCACTAAGCCTGAAATCAATGGGGCTTTGCAAAGGCACAAGGGTCTGCCTGTGTGGAACAGATTGCAAGAGAGTGGTTTAGGATTGTAAACATTTTGGGACAGGAAGCATTTATTATAGGTCTGTAAAGGGTGCTTAGCTCCACACCCTCTCCTCAATCTGGTTGGGGTCTCTAGGGCTACTATAATACAAATCAGGATTAATTAACGGAGTTGATTAATCATACAACTATTTGAAGTGCCAAGGAGACCCAGAGTTTGAAAAGGATGCTCATTTATGCTATAGTTTAAATCTAAAATAATGAGAGAACTTAGAACTAACTAGATAACCCATGCCAATGGAGCCTGCATCTGATAGATGTTTCCATAATGAAAGTATATCATCCATATACTGGATAACATTAGTAGTATGTGTGAGGGGAAATAATTTAACCTAGAAAGTTCTTGACCAGCAAGTGGAAAAGTGGATCAGGACACTAGCAGCTATATGAAAGATTAATACAGGATAATTTAGAAAGTTGGGTGTAGGGAACCTTCCTCAGCTAGGCAGAGAAACAGAACAATTGCTAAATGAGTTTGAATTGATTAGCCCATCCCAAAGCAAAGTGAAGGAAATAGTATATACCATGACTGCTTTCGAAGGGGGTATGGTAAAATGACAGGTCCCCTTTCTGAACAGATTACAATCTAAATTAGACAAGAGGGTTGTGTGAAGAAAGGCTAGTAGCAGGTTGTATGCTATGAAATGATGTCAGTCATATAAAGCCCAGTCCTGCAAAGAATCATATACATTTGCATTATTACTGGCCTGAGTAAGCCAGTGGGACTATACCTGCGTACGAAGTCCCTAGCTAGCTTAAATCTTTGTTGGATAAGAACTACAAAAGACACCTATGCTGCAGGAAGGGAACATTTGAATTTTTCTCTGATTTTAGTTCCACTGAACTGTGCAATGGAATTTACTGATCTTTTAGACAGGTGGAATTCTTAAGATGAACCACTGTTTGTCTAAGTTGATGCATATACAGAAAATGATGTATAAGCTCTCCAAAAGTTACAATTCAACCCATCTGAGAAAGAATTCAAACTGAATTGACAAACCCAGATTCATAGTTTTGATGTGAGCCCCTCTGTCCTTTCATACTCCTCTTTTTGTATCATGTGAAACAAGAGCGACATCTAGTGACCATTAAAAAACAGCACCTGTCATTTATTGAAAGCTGTACAAGGCAGAGGAGTTCACAGTTTAGACACACTACAGTTAAGAGTCACAATGCAGTACAAGATTCTACTGCTGAATTTTGACTAACTTAAAAAAAAATCACTTAATGGTGGAACATGAAAGAGGTTTAGTGGAAACATGCTCTAAAGAAGCCTTTGAAGGAACAGATAAAGGCACTTTGGGGCACGAAGTGAGAGAGGAATATTTGATACAGCTGATGGGAAGTGTAAGACTTTGATCTGGGGTGATCTTTGCAAAAAATTGTGATATCTGTTCCCCCCCCCTCCTCCTCCTCCTCCTCCTCCTCCAAGGTTAGCAGTGGGATGGGATGTGGAGCCTAGGATTCCATGTCACCAGGTTAAGGTGGTTAGCAGAACAGTTAAAGATTTGTATGTTTGCTGCCCCATAGCGCCACTTCAGCACACTATGCACGAGGCCCAGTCATAACATTATTAAATGTAGAAAAAGAGCCATTGCAGAACTTAGTCTAAAAACAGGTCAGCAATGGTTCAAGCTGCCAAGAGCAGTTGTATAGTCTCCACATTTGAGGCAGAGACTGGACATCTCTCAGTGCTAGTTTAGTAAAAATCAACCCTGCCTGGAAACAGCAGGATGGCATGAACCCACTACTGGTCCCTTTCCAAACCCAAGGGCTCTCTTTCAAACCTCTCCCCGAAGCCCTGTCATCTCTGGTTAAACCATTGTTTGCATTGAACCCTGTGAGGACGGTAGAGACTGGACTTTTCTAGCATAATCGGAGGCAGACGTACACGTTGGCAGCTGTGGTGGGCAGAGGCTGGGCATGTCCCCATCATGGCTCTCCTGGGCCTGCCTCGCTTTCCTAGGCCTACAGGGCACACTCTCTGGATCACTGCAGTCACTGGGGGGTGTCTCCTCTCTGGGGTTAGACATCTTGTTCTTCCTGCAGGTCGAGGGGAGACAGAGGGTTAGAAAGCGGGAACAGAGAAGGCATCAACTCAGGCACCACGGGCCCAAGACGGCCACTCCTCTAGTCAAGGGAGGGGGCCGTGAACTGAGTCAGGCCGGGCCTGTGGGGAGCCTGGGCACGAGACCAAGGGGGGGGCGGAAGACCCCAGGGCGAGGCGGGGACGGGACCGTCCAACGGCTCCTTGCCTCAACGGGAGTCAGCGAAGGTGGAGAAGCGGCCCCTCACCTTCCCCGGAGGGTCCGGGCGGTGGCGAAGAGGCTGGGGCCGGACCGGGCGGTGGGGAGGGAGCCGGACCGGGCGGTGGGGAGGGGGCAGCGGCCGGGCCCGGACCGGGCGGTGGGGAAGGGGCAGCGGCCGGGGCCGGACCGGGCGGTGGTGACGAGACAAGAGGCTGCCCGGCCGCTCTCGAGCCCCCTCACGGAACTACTGCTGCCGTTGGTTCAGTGAGCGTCCGCTCCCAGCTTCAAACAGGACCGAACCAACTGCCAGCGCGTGGGAGGGGGGAAAGGCTCGACCTCTTTACACCCGTGGGGGCTACAGACGGTTCCCAGGGAGATTCCTCCCCCTCGTGGCACCGACGAGACCTAAGCCACCGTGTTTTACTTCTTTGGGATCCTGTTCTGAATGAGGTTTTATAATCCGCCCACTTCTCTGTTCGAAATGGGCTGCTCCGCATCTTGAACCATAACAAGCTCTTTTCAGGACTGAACCAACCCCAGAGAAATGGGGATGGGCCTACCACACAAACTCGTCTCCATTTAAAAGCCGCCTAGGGGAGCCAGCTCCCATGCTAAGAGATAAAGTATGAATTACCCTTGGATTGTGGCGCGATAATTAATCCAGCACTACGCTCTCGTTGGAATTATATTTTTCTTTTAAAATAATCCCCCCTCTAGCCAAATGGAATGCTCCAAAGAGTGGCTCGGCCCACGGCCTACTTGGACTCTACCATCCAATAGACGAGGAGGTAGACAGGTGAAGGGAATAGTCAACTAGAGCAAAGCCGGGGGGGCAGCCCTAGGAATTTAGCTGTAGAGTTGCATGACGCTTTATTTATTGTAGGGCCTGCTATATTTATAGGCGCCTTCATAGTAATTTATTTTAAATAGTACCTGGTAGGATCCCTTCTGACTGGATGGACCATGCAAATTAATAGCTGTAGGTTGGCAGCACGTGTGGTTGTTCACACCCCAGAAGGTGCTGTGATCCTAGGGGAGGCGTAGGGCTGATTGCAAAGTAAATCAGGCACATGGGAGGTAGTAATGTTTAGTGATCAGAGCAGGGGTTGACTGAACTAGGCCTCCTAGCTGGCAAAGAGCGGGGGCTTCAGGGGAGTTAGGACACTTGGGTTCTGTTCCCACCCGTTGGAGGTTTCTAGGCTAGTGAAGAATCCTAAGAATGCATTCCAAGAAGTGGGCTGTAGCTCACGAAAGCTTATGCTCTAATAAATTTGTTAGTCTCTAAGGTGCCACAAGTACTCCTGTTCTTTTTGCGGATACAGACTAACATGGCTGCTACTCTGAAACCTGAAGAATCCTGGGTTCTGGTTCTTGTGAAAAGTAGAGGTGGGATGAATTGTGCGTGGAGTGGTACAGAACTATAGCAATAAGCATGTTGGAAACCTATAGGAGGATAAAGATTTTTAAATTATTATTTACAGTGTAGTGGTGTCATGAACCAGGATGCCAGGTGTTGTACAAGCAGAGTGAAAAAGATGACCCTTACCCTGAAGAGCCTGCAATCAAAGTAAATCCTTTTTCTTTTCTTTTGCAGAAGAGGGGTGGGGGGAGGAAGGAAGGTGCACAGATTCATTCATTGTTCACTTGATGGCTTACTGGAGAGGAACAATGTTGTTAATTTATGTTGGTACCTGCGCTTTCTTGCCTTTTCCTTCAAAACTATATTTATTGTGATTGTTTAAGCACTATCCTGATCTCCGAGCAGTTTATAAAACTCAGTACAAACTGTTCCATACAAAAATTAAAACTGTACTGCCTTCCCTCTGTACTGCACGGGTAAGCAATGTGAAAACTAACCTCCATAACAACTACACAACTTTGCCCTTGTCCCATCAATCTGCTCGCTCCCCATACCCTCAGGAAAATGTGTGGGTTTTGCCACAGGCCTAAAGGTTAACAAATCTGCATCCTGCTGGACCAAGGGGAGAGCCGGTATCTGGTATCTTTATTGTTCTAAGACAGTGGTTCCCAAACTTTAACAACCTGAGAACCCCTTTCACTAAAATGTCAAGTCTCGCGAACCCCCTCCTAAAAATGAATATTTCCAGGGATTTTCTCCTTTACCTGAGTATAAATTATAAAAGCAGTGATCTTGGAAATATAAAATTTGTTTTTATGACATGCTTATTACACACTATTTATTATTAATTATTATTTATAATTACATTATTTTTATTACATTATGAAAACGGCAACACCCTTCCAAAATCTCACTTCTGTAGCTTGTATCACTTTGAATAAGCCTGTTATAAGACAAGGCTCCTATGTTTAATCAAGGAGTATCAGATTTGAAACAGCATGAAGGTATTGAAGAAGCCAACTCAAAGAGTTTCTCCTACATATGCATTCAGGTCTTGAGTAGTCCAGGCAAACAACGCACGTTACAACAAAGCTTAAACTTGTTCTTCATAATAATTTTAAAAACAATACTACCTGCCTATTTAATTTTAAAAACAGCAAAAAATATCCACCTCCCTTTCCATTTCTTATAAGGAGTCTTGAAGTTTAAATCTCCTCAGTATGATAGATATGCTTGCTTTGATCTGCTTAGCTCTTGGAAGTCCAGGGGCTCCAGGCTGCTGGCCCCGTGCTGTCCGGGGTCCCTAGGGACAGCTCTGTCCGCCATTAGGGAATTTTTTCCTGAGAACCCCCTGTAACATTTCGTGAACCCCCAGGGGTTCACGAACCCCAGTTTGGGAACCACTGTTCTAAGAGACATCAGTGCTAGAAGACAGGGCTGTATCAATCTCATTTCTGCTGTGAGATGTATGCTGTTGGCTCAAATCATCTCTGGATATTCAGAGTGTTGATTCTGTAGTACCAGAGACCTCAGCAGCTCCTTTCCTGGACCTTTAGCCTCTGGCATCTCTCTGATGAATTTCCCCTCAAGGGCTGTGCAAGTCTTTCCTTTAGGATAGAGCCCTCTGGTTAAACACTTCAGGGTGCCAGGCTGAGTGTGAGGTGGAAATCAGGTGGATAGAGCTCCAACCCTCATCCTCTAGGGCAACGGTTCTCAAACTTCATGGCACTGAGACCCCCTTCTGACAACAAAAATTACTACATGACTGTGGGGGGGACCTAAGCCTGAGCTCGCACGACCCCCTACCCCAGGCAGGGGGGCCCAAAGCCTGAGCTCCACCACTCCATGCAGGGGGGCCAAAGCCCAAGGGCTTCAGCCCTGGGTGGGGGGCCTGTAACCTGAGCCTAGAGTTGAAGCCGAAGCCTGAGTCCCACTGCCCAAGGCTGAAGACCTCAGGCTTTGGCCCTGGGTGGCAGGGCTCGGGCTTCGGCCCCAGACCCCAGCAACTCTAATGCCAACCCTGGTGACCCCATTAAAAGGGGGGTCCTGACCCACAGTTTGAGAACTGCTGCTCTAGGGGCTGCTTCCCATTCTACTTTTCTTCCCTTAGGAGTGAAAGTAGCCAGAGATTTTGCAGGACTCTCTAGGAAGTAACACAAGCGTGAGCCCCGTCTGCCTACAGGAACCCCTCTATAGCACGATCCCCCAACTTCTATAGCACCCTTGATCATCTCCAGCCTATCTATGATCTCCCTGCCTCAGGCTCTGGCAAAAAAACCCTCTCTCCCACCATCACCTCCTTGTGAATCTTCATAACCTCAGGTGCTTTCCACCTGGATTGTGTAGCCATAAACTGGGGCCAAAGTGTAGTTGTTCAAGTGAGAAAAGCCTGGGTTTGAAGACTTTCAGGCCAGGCTGAACGGTGGGGTCATGGGAAGCTAGGGTGGGTGACATTTGGGGTAGGGATAATGATGCAGAAGGTGTTTTCCTTTCTCATGGGGACTCTGTTGCCTTCATGCACATACCCTGCTGTGGCAATTATTTAAATGTAAATGTTATAAAAATGCTGTAATGTGTCTAAATGAAATTAATGAGGTGCAACATGGTCTAGTGGCCTGGGCATCAGGAGACCCGCCTTCCAACTGCCGTTCTGCTGAAGACTTGCTGCGTGGCTCTGGGAGGGTTGTTTTACTTCTCTGTGCTTCTGTTTCTGCTCCCGTCTGTCTAGGTCGTAAGCTCTTTGGGACAGAGACTGGTTTTTACTTTGTGTGGACAGCACCCAGAATGGTGGGGCTCTGATATGGGTTGGGGCCTCTAGGCCGATACTAAATATGGCTGCTACTGTTTCAGAGGTCTGAGGAGCGTAAATGGGCACAAAGGTTAAACCTTCCGTTTGCTCTGGATGTACTTTTCTCTTGTGCAGAGGGTTCACACAGGGTCTGTGCATCTCTGTAGCCCTATATTGAGGACTTAGGTGGTGCACAGATATTGCACTGGCTCTCTGCACAGGGATACAATTCCCTTGTTTGAGAAGCCCTCTCCTAGGCAGATAACGGCTGCATTGAGCCATTGCCTACCAGAAATACAGTACTGTTGACACTTGTACATCTTGCCAGGAGTATCTGATTATTTGGGAGGCTGCAGGACTCTGTTATGTTCACCAGCAGATGGCAGCAGCCTTTCATGACAGGTGACGTGGGAGTGAACAAGGGCACATTGGGAAAAGCTTAGAAGACAAAAGCTCCCTCCTAGCCTGCACGTCTCATAAAGACAAGGTTTAACTGGGTTGCCCTGGCCCCAGCAATTTGGGTCAGATTTTAAGCAGAGCTCAGCCCCCCATTTAGGAACCTCAGTGAATGGCCACCTTTTTGAAAGTGCATTCAGCAGTTCCCCTGAGAACAATGGGAGCTACAGCGGGGCTGAGAGTTTTGTGAAAATCTGGTCCTGAATGTAGCAGTGCTTTGGCCTGAAGCAATTGCAGATATGTAGCTGGACTGAGAGGCAGGTGTACATAATTTAGTTGGGGATTGGTCCTGCTTTGAGCAGGGGGTTGGACTAGATGACCTC